GACAAACCACGTGCAAGGCCCAGCCCTAGAGGCTGAGGCCCTCAGGTCCTAAGCTTTAGTACAAATGTGTCAGAACAGTATGGCTCTCCCCTGCTGAAAACCTCCCATGGCTCCCCACTACCCGCAGGGACAGGGTCCATACTCTGTGATCTGTGCATAGGACCTTGTCAGAGTCCCAGCTCTCCTTTCCAGCTCCTCCTCTGGGCTGTGCTTTGATGCGCCTCCGCAGCCTCCTTTGCAGAAACATCTCCTGTTTACATGGTAAGACCCAGCAGATTTCCTGGGGGAAGTCTTCCTGGTCCAGCCCCAATCCAGATGGGCTAGTGGCTGCCTCTGTGACTTCCCTAGGTGCATGCTTCCCAGGACCTTAGCCACCTCACCTTGTAATTGCCAAGTCTCTTGACCATCGCCCAGCTTGTAGGATCCTGGGCACAGCCGACTGTGAGCTTGGCATATTTCAATGAACATTTGGTGAGGGAATACATTAATAAATGAGTGAATTTAGTACTATCTGCCAGGCCATGTGGCTGAGAACCCCACATGCCCACAGGCACAGACATCCACGTGTGAATGTGTACACCCACGTGCAGTGGGAGGAGACATGTGAATTCCTGTCATGGTGTCCCCTAAGATGTGTGTCTGTGGGTCCCTGCATTTATCCGCCAGCATCACTCTTGGTGTCCTTCTGGCCAGCAGGTGGCGATGTGCCCCTCTGTGGTATTGGTCCATCCAACCTGCTGGCTGAGGAGGGCTGTCATCACTGGAGGGCCTCAGCAGGAGCACAGAGCCCGCCTCCCTCATCCCACAGGAGTACCAAGGCTGTCTGGGTCTCTTGGGGAATGAGTCTGGACTTCCAACTGAGCTTCCAGAGATCTGATCCTGAAGTGCCCAAACTCCTGTTCACGCACCTCTGTAGCACTCTATGCCCAGTGCCAAGCTGGACCCTACAGGAAAGCCTAAAGTCGAAGCAGCTGCAGAATATAAAGGTTAAAACAAAAGCATGGCATCCCAGCTCTGCCTCTGGCTGGCTGTGTGACCTTGGGCAAATCCCTTAATCTCTCTGAGCAACTTCCTTTGTTGAGTGGAAATCATGGCCATCTGTAAAATGAAGAAATCACTGTAAAACATGGACCAGAGTGGGGCTGTACTATAAAACAGTGGTTCTCAAACTGTAGCCCTGGAGGGCTTGTTAGAGCACAGATGGCTGGGTCCCAGCTCCAGAGTTTCAGATTCAGGAGGTCTGGGGTGGGGCCTATGAATTTTGCATTTCTAACAAGTTCCTGGGTAATGCTGATGCTGGTGGTATGAGGTCTTGAGAACCCCTGGATACAGGATACTCACAGTAAGGGTGATACGCAAGATTATACACACGGCCAAAGGTAGCAGGCCTCCGGCGAGATACAATGGAAACAGAAGAGATGGAGGGGTCCACACCAAGGGCTGCAGGGGCCCAAGGAGGGGGGCTCAGCCCCGTGGCCTGGGTGGTTGGAGGGGAAGAAGGGGGAGCCTGTGGACCTGGCTCTACTCCTTCCTGCCACAGCTCTCAGCCCCAATCCTCCCCAGCTCCCTACTGCCTCTAGAGGTGAACCCAGGGGCCTACTGGCTGGCTGGCTGGCTGGCTGGCTGGCTGGCTGGTGTGGCACCAGGCCTGTCTGTCCCACACGGCTGCTGCTTTTCCCGGGAAGGGATCGGTTGGTTGATTCTCTGCTCCCAGCTAGGCCTCTGATGTGCTTCCTCAGCTTCTGGGAACTCACATTTCCTTTCTCTTTCTTTTTTAATACTGCTTTTTAATCAAATTATCATAAAGGCAGTGGACGTCCATCTTGGAACATCAATACAATGCAAAAAAGTGTTAAGAAGAAAATAGCAATCCAAGACTCAGTCATTCAGAGATAATGTCTATTTCTTTCCTTGTATATATGTCTCAGGCACAATATATATCCACTTGACATTGTACAATAAATGTTGTTTTTTCACATTCAAACTCTTGGGAAACACGAATTGAAGGGCAGTGTAATAATCTAAGGGAAGGTCTTGATACATTAGGTACTGCCTGCATTTCAGGTGACTTCCCCAGGGGAACTTTCTGGGAAGGGACTCACTGGGTCAAAGGACATAGAAAGTTTTAAAACTCTTGGTATATGTGGACAAAGGGCTTTTCAAAACCATTGTTTGAGTCCTACCCAAGGTGGGAGGGGAAAAAGCAGTTGCTAGACCCAATTCACAACACTTGACATGAATGGAGGAGGCCCAAGCAGCCACAGGGAGGCAAGGAGGGCCCAGCATTGTCCAGCCCTGACATCACCCCAGACAGTGTCATGTCCCATGCCATGCTCCAGGAAACCGATGTGGGTACCTCTGGCCAGATATGGCCAGTGCAGAGCTGCCCCCCTGAGCTTGGAGCCAAGGGTTGCTCTTAACCCCTCATTTTCTCTCATACCTCACATCCACCCAGTCGACCTGCAAGTGCTTCTGGAACTACTTTCAAAGCATCCCGAATGTGACCATTTCTCCCCAGTCCACCACCACCAACCTGGCCCATCTCTGCCTGGATGTTCTTAGTAGCTCCTTCATTGTCTTCCCCCATCAGAGTCTTCTCCACAGCAGCCAGAGAGATCCTTTTAAAACCTAGGTTGAATCAGGTCAGTCCTCAGCTCAAAACCCTCCAATGGCTCCCATCTCACCAAGGGTAAAAACAAAGACTTTACTATGACCTACAGGCCTTTAGGATCTGTGCCTCTCCCCACCATCACCTCCCTGACACCAACTCCTACCACTCCCTCCCTTACCTACTCAGTTTTCTGAAGTGCTTCACAACACCCCACACACACTCCTGCCTCAGGACCTTTGCACTTACTGTTTCCTCTACCTGGTATATTTCCTCGGATATCCACAGGCCCCCCTCGGCTCAAATGTCATCGCAAAAAATAAAAAACCCACAAGTAAATATGGCCTATTTTGGAAAGGTCCTTCCAGACCACCCTGTCTAAAATAACATCCTGGCCATTTTCATTCTCTTACCCTGTGTCATGTTCCTTCAGAAGCATTGTTCATTTTTTGATTATTGTCTGTTTTCTTACTGGAAGAAAACCTCCATGAAGGCACTACTCTTTGCCTGTTTTGTATCCACAGCACCTGATGAACTGGCTGACACATAGCTGGTGCTCAGCAAACCTGTTGAGTGGACAATTAAGTGAAAGATTTCACCATCTGGGGATGTATGTGGTTTCTCCTCCAGACTATATGTTGCTGCCTCTAAGTCACCAGCTTGCACACAGTGCCCAGCATCCATAGTGTTTACTGCACAGATGGACACACACTGGGAAGAAGGCCGTCGAGGCAGGGCATGAGAGGCTGCCGCACGGGGATTGGGAAACTGGAATTCCACAGAAGCCCCTGCCACTCAGCCACTGAGGCCTTAGGAAAGTCACTTCACCTATTTGAACCTTGGCTTTGTCATCCATAAAAAGGCATGATGATACCTGTGCTGTCAGTGTCACAAGGCTGTTGTGACAATTAAATGACAGATGTAGGTCAGCAAAGCACAAAAGCAGCTCCGCTCAAGCTGCAGGTCCTCTGTGATGCTCTGCCCAGTACCCTTCACCCCACCAACCTCTCCTCTCACTGAAAGCCCTACATAGGTGTGTGTGGCATGAGCCCTGCAGGTGTTTTCATGCGGGGTTCATTTAGAAGACTGCCCTGCTGAGACTGCATGCCCTTGAGATCAGGGCCAGGTCTCACCATTGCATCCACCCACTTGGCATTGTGCCTGGCATCTGGGCCATACCCCTTGGGCATTTGATTACTGACCAACAGATACATTCATTGAAGGCTATAGATGTGTTACTATGATACAAGTAAATAAGGGTCGGGATTTCAGACCCAGACAGAGGCCTGGGTGAGGCAAGTCAGCTAGGGGCTCTTCGGGATATGGGGCAGGCGGGCCTGCTGGGCCTCAAGTGCCCCAACCTGACAGGAAGGGAGGGAAATACTGATGGCCTGGCCACATCCACTCGGAGACAAGGCTGGCCAGTTGCCTCCCAGACATCTGCCACAGCGGCCACATCTTCTGGGCTGTGGGGCGGAGGCCTGGGTACCCACCTGCATTCCTCGCTGTGTACCCATGATCTCATCCCAGCCCTGCAGCCGCCCACGGGGCAGGAGGCTTTGCCCCACTTTGCAGATGATGGAATGGAAGCTCAAGGAGATGACCCCCAGGCTGGTCATCTTGCCTGGGCGCAGGCAGACACTCAGGGGACCCAAGGCTCTAATAGCGCAGGTGGAATGTGCTCATGGAGGCCACTTCCTGCTGTCTAGCAGGGCTTAAAAAGCTCCATCGAAACCATGCACACGCTTAATAAACTCTGGGCAACTAGTTAACTGACTTGCCCTGGGGCTGCCCAGGGGGCATCCAGCCAGGCCCAGCTGCCTTCCCTCTACAAACTCAGTGCTCAGACGGGGGCTAGCTGAGGAACAGGCCCCACATGGGCGGGGCATGGGACGCAGTCAGCGAAACTCCTTTTAGGAAGGAAACCTCAGAGCAAAGTTGAGAAACCAGCGTCTTGCCAAGGCCTAGGGGTGGGGGAGGCCAGGTGAGCCGACTCAGTCCTCAGGAATGGGTGGGGTCTCGAGGGGAGGCAGGCACTTCCTCCCACCTCAGCCCAGGGTCCTGTTCCATCTTTATTGTGGAGTTTCCTGACGACAGGCAGTGACCTGTCGGCTGCCCACCCCTGTGGGAAGCAGCTTGGCGTGGCCCTCACCATCTCATTAGTAGTGATTCACCCAGGACTCACCTGGCTGGCTGTCAGAGACTTGCCATGCTGCCTGCCGGAACCAGCTTGGCTGGCACCCTTTGGGAAGCAGACACCTCATTTCTTCAGGTCTGCCCTCCCTGAAGCCCAGGGCAGAGCTTGCTTGGCATACAGTCAGAACTCTGAATTCATTCATTCCACCAACAGATATTTATTGAGCACCTACTGTATGCCAGGCACTGTGCTTGGTGCTGGGGATACAGAGTGAATCAGGAAGACCCAAATCCCTGTGCTCTTGGAACTCACAGTTTCATGTGGAAAGACAGACAGTAAACAAATAAATAGGTGAATCATACAAGCTCTTGAAGATGGTAGTGCTATGGAGAAAAAGCAGGGAAGGGCGTGAGATGGGGTTTGCAAATTTTAAATAGGGTGTTTGGATGGACCTTCCTGAGAAAGTGATATTTGAGCAAAATCTGATGAAGATAAAGATGAACAAAGGAGCCATTACAGATAAAGGAGGAAAAAAGGATACTGGTGAACAGCAAATGCAAAGGGCCTGGGGTAGGGATATGGGAGAGGAGGTCATATTTAAGAAATGATGATGAGACCAGGGTATCTGAAGCAGAGCTGGCAAAGGAAAGAGCAGTGGAAGAAAGGGTCAAAGAGGTGGTGGGGGCAGGGGTAGTCTGGAATGTACAGGGTCTTACAGGCCTTTATAAGAACTCTGGCTTTCACTCAGCTGAATTCTGTCAAAATGCTCCAAAATCCCTCCCTTGAATCCAAGACCAGCTCCCCAGGCTTCTTCTGGCTGGAGCAGAACTCAGAGAGCTGTGTCACGAGTCAGGGGTGTTTTCACTGAGAGTCTGGAAGGATGAGTTTGCTGACAAAGGGTTGCTGCCTGTGGATAATGTATAAAGAGAAAGATGCCTGTTTGGGAAACAAGAGCCTACTGCAGAGGGGTGTTGTTGGGAGAGGAGAAGGGAGTAGAGGCTGAAAAAGAAAGGTGGGGCCAGGAGAAAACAGCATTGCCCAGCTGCCCCCACCGCAAGCCCATCCCAGACTCATCTGCGACATACCTCAGCTGACACTGCACCAGCCTCCACCTCAGCTCTGGGCTGCTGCACACGCTGTCCGTCCACCTGGGAATGCTCGCTCCCTGACCTCCCGCTCATCTTCCACAAAGTGGTTCCTGAGTCCCCAGAGCAGGTACTCCTCCCATGGGCCCAGCAGCCCCCACTGAAGCATTTTCATGCTGGGTTGTATCTGCCCACTGAGGGGTCTCGCTTCTCCCTGAATCACACTGGAGTTAGCTCACCTTTACATCCTCCGAGACTGACACAGAGTAGGTGCTGAAGCAGCTCAGTGGGATGAACGAATGCTCGCTAGGACGTGGATCCCTGAGAGTTTCAGAACAGAGTGACAAAATCAGATTCACATTTTAGGAAGAAGACTTGACTCAGTGTGTTGGGGGTGAGAGGGACTGGAGGCGGCGGACAGCTAAGAGGCTCCTGTAATAATCCAAGCAGGGGCAAGAGAGAAGGCAAGAAGGACACACTCGGGATGCCAGCTGCTGGGAGTGAGAGGAGAAGGCAGATCTAGGAGCAGTTAAGGGACATCAGTAGGACATCAGCACTGGTCCTGGGGGTGATGCAGAAGAGGGAGTAAAGGATGGGGTCCAACTTTTCCCCTTTCATATTGTGTTCTTCACTCTGTCTTGCCCATGAACAGATACCAGTTCCTCAGACACAAAATAGCATGGTGGTTTGGAGTCTGACTCTGGGTTCAAATCTCATCTGTACCACATCCTTGCGATGTGACATTGGGCAGGTTCACTCAACCTCTCCATTCCTCAGTTTACCCATCTGTCAGGCAAAGATGACAGCTGAGAATTAATTACCGCTTTTCATTGATTCTGTGATTCTCATTGTAACACTTTTGAGTCTTTAAATCAATGGCATGTCATGGGTTAATTGGCAACATTCTTTAGTGATACACAGATAATAGTGTATCTGAAGACTGATGGAGACTTAGATTTGGTGAAACACAAAACTATGTGGAGAAACCAGTATCTGGCATTTTGTAAGAACTGAATAAATGTTAGCTGTTATTGCTACTGTCATTTTTTGCTTCCTGGAGTTCTGTTCATCATACAAGGTAACAAATGCTCCCTCAGAATAAAGAGAATTCATAAATAGGTATAAAGGTGAAAAAACTGTAGTAATTTCCCCCAAGAAACACCCAAAATCTAATGCTTCCTTTGAAAGATCTCATAGAATTCTGCCAAAGTTCCAGAGAAAACTTTAAAAATTTCTTTTACAATGGGGACCCGAGCTCCTGGCTCCCTGACCGGTAGGGGGAACCAGGGCATGTCCCCAGATGACTTTGGGGGCGTTTCTTGTGTCCTTGTGAATTTCCCTGAGTCACCATTACTCATGGCCCACAGTCAGAGTGCTGCTACCTTCTGACCAGGAGACTGATGCCCTGGGATCAAGGGCTGTCCACAAACAAAAGTGCGATTATAGAGTGTTCTGCACAGGCCGTATACTGTCTCCAGCTCAAGGGAGCAGGGCGACCCTCACGGGTGTCTTATTTTCAGCCTCCTGGGCTGTGTTCCTGCCTACTGACTTGGCAAATCCTGGGCGACTCGCCTTGTTTTCTCTCCTCACTTAAATACATGTCTGGAAAAAGCCTCCACCCCCACAGACCCTGCTGTGTGTGGAAACGGTGACAAGCCTGGAGGAGGAGGAGAAACTCAGCGGCTCGTTCCTGGAGCCTCCCTCTCAACGAGGGGGAGAAGAGTTGGCACAAGTGGGGGACCTTAGGCCCAGCTGCTGGGGTCACTGACACACCCAGGCCAGTCCTGCGTCCCTTCAGGTTCAGCCGGGGCCCCTACCCAGCTCTGTCTGAGTTGACCAGAGACAGTCTCAGCCACCCTCACCGCATCAGGCTCACACACAAGTCTCTGGCGGCAGGGGCGGGCTCGTGCCTGGCGTTGGGAAGCAGACACAGGAATCTGACCACACACAGGCAGTGTGCACGTGCTGGGCTGCTAGGGGGCGGACGAAAGTAGCTCCCGTAGCCCTCGGCCAACGTGTCTGCTCCTGTGAGCTCACCACTGGCTGAGAGGCAGGACAAGGGTACCCAGGACACCCTTACAGAGAAAATGAGGGACCAAGCAGTCAGTGGAGGGTCCCCTAGGAGACCCTTCAAACAGGACAACTGCCCTATCTCTTGGCCCCCTGGTGTCAGGCCAGTCTCCTTCTAGTGCCACAGTCCACCCCTCTGCTCTCAGTCTGGCGGCATTTTCATTCCAGAATGCTTAATCTACAGCAAATCTGTCCATTCAGGAGTTCCACTGAGCCTCTTCTCTGGGTTGGGGTACATGCCAGGATAGTTTCAGAGCCACAGGACACCCCATCCCATCCCTCCCATTTGCACTGGGACGGCAGAATTAATAGAGGAATGAAGGCCTCCTCCCAAGCTCAAGAGCCACAGGAATCCAAGAAAAATAGGGGTGACATCAAGGGGGAGCTGGAAGCAATGGCTCTCTCCATCAGGTGTGCCATATTTTGATCAGAAACATCAACACTGGTCCCGGGCACTTTGCAAATGTAGCTTCAAGCCTCTGCCTCTGTGGCAAGTGCTGCTCCCCAACCTTGTCCGCTCCACACCAGTATGGAAAATGAGCTGTTGCTTTGTCTGTCTTGCCCATTAAAGTATGACTTTCTGAAGGCAGGGTTGTGTCTAATTCATCCTTAATCACCTGTCTTGATCCAGGACATAGCAGCACATAGTAGGGCTGGCACACTATAGGTGTATCATGGACAATTGTTGAATGAAAGCACCCGTACTCGATGCCAGCACTGTGTGGTACCTCACTTGTGCCTACGTCAACCAGGGAGACAGGCATTATCTTTCCCACTTACCATGCCCATTTTAAAGATGAGCAGACTGAGGCTCAGGGAAGTTCAGCCTTATCTGTGGTCCCACAGCTAACAAGTAGCAGACCTGGGCTTGTAACCAAGGTCTATCAGACCTCAGACACTGCGCCCTTGTCACTGTATCATGCCACAGGCTTGAAGGTGCTTGACAAAGCCCCTGGCACAAAGGCACTGCTTAATAAACAGTTGCTATTTGATAAACAATACCACCTCACAACAACTCATCAAGGTTGTGCTTCTATGCTTGTTTTAAAAATATGGAAACTGGGGCTCAGAGAGGTTCCATAACTTGCCCAAGACCACATAGTTAGTAAGTGATGGAGCCAGCTCAGGTTGGAACCCAACTCTTACCTGGCTTTACAAGCCAAGCTCTAACCACTACATATACTGTCTCTTTTGGAAACACTACCTGCCCTACTCAGCTGTACCCCTAACAGTTGGCTGATGTTTTCTTCTTGCAAAGCCTCATATTTGGAATTTTCTCTTGCTCATCTCTTCCTTCTGGGCAGCATCTGTGTTTTCGATCTACCTGTCCAAATTCAGGGACATCGTCCAACTGTGCAGCACCCCAATGCTGACAGCCTCTTTACTTGGCCCCCAGTAGTGCCTCGAGGCCCTTCCCCCAAAGCTCTTTCAACAGAACCAAACAGCCCTGGCTTGGAACTTGTCAACAACAATTTCTTCACCAAAGGTAACCTTGAGATAGATGTCAGGAGCAAGATAACAGTAGCGAGAGGCCACTGAGAAGGGTGACTGGAGGGCTACATGAGGGGATCTGTCCCCCCTGAGGAGTGCCTTGTTTCCTTGGTGGCGTCTTTTGAGCCAAAGCAAATACAGCAGCAGACTGCCTTCCTGTACGGCCCATGTGTGCACCTCTCCAGTCACAGGCCATGGGTGTGCAGCTCTCAGCAGGTCAGAAGCACTGGCATCCTGCCCAACTTTGCTTGGCTGTCCAAGGATCACAGAGAAAACACACTCCTTTGACCAAATGCTGGGTCAACCCCATAATCAGTCTCATTAAAAGCACTGCAGGAGCAGTGAGAAGAAATTATAACAGTTTTGCAAAAAGAGACCCTATTTATCTCATGCCCATTAGGATGGCTACTCAAAAAAATAGAAGATAGCAAGTTTTGATAAGGATGTAAGAAACTGTAACCACTGTACACCATTGGTGAGCTTGTAAAATGATGCAACTGGTATGAAAAACAGTATGGAGCTTCCTCAAAAAATAAAAAATAGAATTACCATATGATCTAGCCATCCTACTTCTGAGTATATATCCAGAATTGAAAGGAGGGTCTTGAAGAGGTATTTGCACTCCCAAGCTCATTGCAGTGTTATCCACAATGCCACCAAGAGGTGGAAACGATCTAAATGTCCATGAGGAGGAATGGATAAAGAAAATGTGCTATATACATACAATGGAATATTACTCAGCCTTAAAAGGGAAGGACATCTTGTCACATCCTACAGCACTGACGAACCTTGAAGACATTAAGCTAAGTGAAATAACTCAGACACGAAGGGACAAATACTGCATGCTTCCACTTATAGGAGCTACCTAAAGTGGTCAGTTCATAGAAACACAAAGTAGGATGGTGTTCACCGGGAACTAGGGGGAGGGGAAATGGGGAATTGTTGTCTCATGGCTACAGAGTTTCAGTTTCCCAAGATAAAAAAGTTCTAGAGATTTATTGCACAACAATGTAAATATACTTACTACTGAACTGTATGCTTAAAAATGGTTAAGATGGTAAATGTTATGGTTTCTTTACCATAGTTAAAAGTGAATTCTAAAAGGGGGAACCTTGTTGATTTCCTCACTTTGGAGGTATTTACACCATAGAGGGAGCAAGGCACTTTATATGCATCATTTTCTTTAATTCTCACAATGACTTAATTTGGTAGTCAGCACTATTTCTTTTTTACAGCCTAGGAAATTGAGGCCTAGTGAGAGAAACTGACTTATAACCACAGTCATGGAACTTAGTGAGGGGAAGTGCTCCAGTGTGTACTCGGGTTTGTCTACCTCCAAACTGGGGTATCTTCCCCCAGCTCTGCTGGCTGAGTATGTCCTGATTCAAGCCCCCGATTGCTGAGAGAAAGAAGGACTTTTGATGTGAGTGCTCCATTTCCCCAAATTGAGCCACAAGTTCCTTGGTGATGAGCCACATGCACCTTCTATTTCTTCACTTGCTACGGGAATTAAGCTGAGTACTGGGCACACATAGTTGATGGGTAACAAATACTTGAGAACTAGTTGATTTTTTTAAACTTATTCAAGCACCAGAATGGGTTTTCACAAAAATATCACTTAAGCACTTTCAGCTCGCAAAGCATTTTCACATACACTAACTTATTTGCTCCTGACCGAGTCCCTGGATAAAGCCATTACCTCCATTTTACAGATAAGGGAAGTGCAGCTCAGGGGACGTGTTTGAGGACCTGCAGCTGGGATTCCAATCACTGGAGGTGCGGCTTGACAGGTGTCCTAGGATCCCAAATCTGTGATACTTTTCCAGGTGGCCTCATCAAGTTAGGTCCGGGCACCCTATCTTAGTCAGGTGGAGATCCTGTGCTCTGCTCACCTGCTGACTGAAAAGGGGGGCCTAGACCTCCAAGGCCACATAAGCTCCAGATAGCCCATGTGAAGGCTGGAGGCACCTTTCCTGAGACTGCAGCTGCAGCATCGAATATTCAGCCAAGCGCCACACGCCAGCAAGTGAAACCCTGCCCTTCCCCACCACAGACTGGTCCAAAAGGGTTGGGAGTCCAGCCCAGCAGGGCGTCCTGGTGACTGGCACAGCAAAGGGGGCACAGATGGGGTCAAACTTGGGGTGATAGCTAAAGCCAAATGTTGATATGAGCTGACAGGGTCTGTAGCCTGAAGAGGCCTGAGGGAGCACAGTAAAGGATGGAGGCTGCCTGTTCTCTGCTCTAGCTCTCAGCCCCTGCCAAGTGTGGGCAGCTGCCAACCAGAGGCCTGCGGCCCTAGAGTGAGGGTGGTCGGTGGCCTGCAGGGGGCCACCCAGTGGCCAGCCACATGTTTGGTCCTTTCATTGTTGATATTTTTCTTCTGATTACAAAAATATCTTGTGTTAAATGCCTAGGGTGCCTAAATGGTTTTCTTGGCTTCACTGGAGATGGCTGGTAATTATAGATTTGCTTTGTTTATGTCACCGTATTCCTATTATGTTAATATGTGTGTGCAAATTAGTTAGTAGTTTAAAACCTATACATACTTAAGGTACTATACAAGAAGATATGTCAAAGAAATAATCAATCCTCCCAAGTTTCCTTCATATGCTACATCTATAGCTTTTCTTCTTCCTTCCTAATTACAAACCTTAAATAGAATTCGTGCCTCATATCGAATTTACCGAGTATCATAATTCCTCCAGGTGGTAAAGATACCTCGAGACAAGTGCTGGGCATAGAAGCCACAGGGCATAAATCTGCAAAGAAGTAAAAAGCTAACCTTTGCAAACAATATGGCTTCTCTCTCACTTACCAACTTTACATTTCCCTGTATGGCCCCGGAAGATGACTGGTTAGCCAGAGACGGGTAAGATTCCTCAAGGGAGGAACAACCTAAGACAGGCACAGTCGCAGGGGGGCCATCAGGTGAGAATTTGGGGATCAACAGAGGTGAGGCTCAGAACCTCACCCCCCCTGCTTTGAGAGAAATCTTCTGCATCCGTGGATGTCTTGCTGCCCTTGTCTAGCCTGGATTAATACTTAGTCCATAGGCACACACCTGATCATCTGATCATCTACATTTGCCTTCTTACAGCACTAAACTATGTTTTCTACCTTTATCTTGCATCTACCTACCACTTCAGCATTTTATTAAAAATAAAAATAATAATAATAATAGGAGAAATGTGGGATCAACATATAAATCAAGTACAAAAATCAAA